AATATATATATATATAAGGCTTAAAGTCTTTAAAAGATATACTTAACTAGTAATATATTACTAACTATTTACTAAAGAAGCCTATTAGTAACTAACTAGCCTTCTACTTACTTTTTAAAAGTAGCTTATAAAGCCTATGCTCTTATAGTGTTAAATTAATATATCCTTAGTAAATAAACACTAAAAAATTAGTCTATATAATAGGCTATAGTAGGCTTTACTAATATATCTACTACTTTTATTATAGTAAAGCTAATAAGTAAGTTATTAACTACTAGATATAGTAGCTATTAAAAGCTTCTTAAAGGGTATTACTATTCTTAATTACTATTAGCTAATTATCTATTATATAAAGAATAACTCTTCTTTAAGAGTCTTATAGAAGTAGGCTAGTAATTAGTTATATTATCTTAATAAGGTAACTAAGGATAATAATAGCACTAAAGACTTACTAACTATTTACTAAGTAGTTTCTACTAAAAGCTTTATTATCTAATTTAAGGCTTATAGTATTACTATATTTTACTTTACTTATTATTAGATAATTATAATAAAGTTAAAAGTAGTTAATATAGTTATTAGTAGTAAATTTTCTATTATATTAAATATAGGGGTTTAGTAACTACTTACTATATATCTAGTGCTTTTACTTATTATTATTATTCTAGATCCTAGGTATAGAATTAAAGTTAAAGAATTATAAGGAGATTATAGCTAGAAGCTAATTCTAGAGGATAATATAAGTAAAAACGTAGGTATAGGTGTATTATAAGACTTTAACTTAGCCTTTTAACTCTCTACTAAAGGAATCCCTTAATATTTATTAGCAAGGTGTTACTAACTAATTACTAAATAGTTAATCTATAGTATTTAGCCTTTAATACCTAGGGGACTATTTATATTCCTTATATAATTACTATAATACTAATTTACTTTTAGCTATTACTTTTTATAAAATCTATAAGTATTAGAAGTTAATTAACTTTTTAATAATAAAAGTACTCTTTTAATATCTTTATAAAAAGATTATATATAATATTTTTTAATAAAATAACTTTTACTTTTAAAAAGTAACTATTCTTATACTTTAAGAGGCTACTAAGACTTATTTTATAGTTATATTTAAAAATATATAATTACTATAATTAATTACTATAATAACTAACCTATATTTTTCTAGCTATTTAGTTAGCTACTATTTATACTAAGAGAGTTACTATTATAAAGAAAGATATAGACTATATTAAGTCTATTTTTTTTACTATAGAGCTAATAAGTAAAGACTAGTACTATTTTTAATTTTCTTTAAAGTTCTTTTAGTTACTTAGATAAAAGCTATTTAGTTCTAGTTTAAGTAGAGAAAAAGAAAAAACTAGCCTAACTACTATATAAAAGCTTACACTTAAGTAGTACTATAAAAGGCTTTAGAAAAAGAACTATAGTCTAATAGTTAAGGGAGATACTATAGGAGAAAACAAGAATACTACTTAAGAGATATTTTTATAAGTAGGCTAGTACTAAAGATTAATATAAATAATTACTATAAAGGATTACTATAAATAGAAAAATTCTATTACTAGTACTTAACGTTTTACTTATAAACCTCTATATAATATACCTTCTTTAACTTATTACTTAATAGTAAATTCTAATACTTTACTCTTAAAACTACTAGTTTTTTCTCCTTTATTATTAATTAGTTTAAAATAACTAAATAAATATTATAATTAAGATGTTTTTTAAACCTTATAAGGTCTTTTATTATCTTATTAACTTTAGCTTCTTCTTATAATAGTTACTTTTTTTTTTCTCTTATAGCTTTAACTTTAGTACCTCTTTTTTACTACTAAAGTATTTATTCTTAAGCTCTTATATTAATTTACTAATATAGGTATTAGCTTTAGTAGTAGTAAGTCTTTTTTTTAGTAACTTACTATTACTAATAAAGATATACTATTATTAACTTTATTTATTAGATTACTAGTTTTATAAAAATATAGGAGTACTAAGAAATAAAATAAATAACTATAATAATATATAAAAAGACTAACTTTCTTATATATTCTCTAAGTTATTATTATTATTTTTATTATCTTCTTTATCTTTATTTACCTTAGAGTTAGTCTTTTAGCTATATATAACCTTATTAACTAATAATATAGTACTACCTTTCTTAGTATTTATACCCTATATCTCTTTATATAGATCTAGTAGTCTTAACCCTTTTTTAAAAACCTACTTATACTTTAGATAAGTAATTAAGAAGTTCTTTTTTACCTTATTACTATAAGAGACCTTTTTACTGTCTTTATTAAATATATTACCTAACTTATAGGTAATAAATATCTAAATAAAAAACCTTTTTTTTTACTATTATACTTATTTTTTATTTATTTACTAGTTATAAGACTAGTAAATTAGCCCTTAATATTAATTTATACTATAAGATCTTTAAAGACTAGCTTTCTAGTAGTAGCTTTATTAATATTAAGGTTTTTATTATAGTATAAATTAAAAAGCTTCTCTATAAAGTAATAAGTAAGCTTTAAAGTTTAAATAATATAAAAATATATTAGTATTTATTAACTAAATAAATCTTTAAGAAAAAGTAATATACTACTTAAGAATTTATTATTAACTTTATTATATTCTTTATTATTATCTTTATTATAGACTTTAATAATATCTTAAGTAACCTCTTTATTAAGCTATTACTTTTTTATTAACTTTTTTTTAACTAATATAATAAGTTTTTTTATTTATTAGTAGTAAAGGCTAAAGTAATAAGTTAAATAATAATAAAGCTCTCTATATTAATAAAAAGCCTTTTTTTACTTTACTAGTTACTTATTATAAAAGTATAAGTAATTATAGTAATTATTTATAGTAATTTAATAAAAAATAATAATATAAATAAAAATAAAAGAAAATAAAGCTTATTTAGCCTAAAGAAAAAGGAAAGTAGTAAAGATAATAACCTCTATAGGGATAACAGTAATATATTACCTAATTTAAGCCTTAATAATATAGGAAACTCTACTTAATTTAACCTAAGGTATTTTTTTATTATGGTATAGCTGTTACTGCACTTATAACGTAGTCATTGATTAGGCTCTGAATCTGCGATGGGACACAACAGATCAATATGACCTTCCATAGGTAGTGATAGTAGTTACTTAACTGTTTATCTAATAATGAATGTATGCATACTACCGGTGAATAAGTTTATGATTGACGGCAAGTCGTAATAATGGCAGAGTACTTGGGTACTTTGGGTACTTTGGTTAGGCAGGTACCTTCTCTTCTTGTTTCTCTGCTGTGGAAGTCGCAAAGGAAGGAACAGTCTTGCCCAGAAGTGGCAATAATGGGAGACCGGAGCAACTGATCCGGCATTGCATTGCGACTGCCACATACTTGGCAGGTGATATGTGCTGTGCCTTCCCGATACACGACGAATTCTTGTCCGTGGCTGTTTGACGTAAGACTTCCTCTTGACAACCTCCTCTCGAACAATCTCTTGAAAGCCCCCCCTGAACAACCTTCCAAACAACCAACCTCAACTTGGCAACCGCATCTTAATAACGTCCTGCCATCAATCTTTCCTCCGAGCCATGCCTCCGTCTGCTGCCTCTCATCAATCTTCTCATATCGCAGTCATGCAAACAAGAAGCCAGACATCGGCCACGGAGAAGCCCCCTATTGAAGCTGAGGCGCGAATCCTGCAAGAGAAGCACGAATCTTGCCTCATCCAAGTCGAGGAACTTTCCAGTGAGGTGGTACGTCTCGCGAAGAAACATAATGCCACACACGACCTCAGCGACGTCATTGCCCTCTTCCCTGAGGAAACGCAACACGTGCTTTCAAAACTTCTCAACATCACACGAAGTAACACACCCGCGCTCGTCAAACGTCTCGCCGCCGCATGGCGTGTCACGCCCGACCAAGTACGTGCACTGTTTGGCGGCTCTTCCAGCGAGCGATTATACGCCGAACTCAAGTTGCGGGTAATCGACTACCCCCTCAACAAAGTCATGGATGCCCTAGTTAAAGCCCAGGTATCCAGAAAAGCTGGAAAAGGAGGGGCTGGCGTGAGCAAGAAGAAGACTTGGGTCCCGTCTGATGTCACGAGAGCGGTCGAGATTCTCCAACGAGACCGCGAAACCCATCACGCTGGCGACATCCCCGACATCGAGAGTCACGAGGACGAGGGCGAGCCTGCTCTAACCATCAACCAAGACACCATCATCCCTGACATCAAAGAACGCAAGGAAGTTGGTCACACGCCCGCAAAGGTTAATTCCGAGCATCAACCTTCCGAAGGCGATCACCAAGTTGTCAAACCCCATCGTCCTGAATCGCATCGGCACCTCCCGGAGAGTGATCAACAGCTTCTCGACCACAATTCGCTAGGCCTCGACCTCGAAGACGATCGAGCCTCACTCTCACTCACACCTCTGCATCACGACGAGTCTGACGACGAGGAGCAAGACGGCTGCATGCAAACAGAGGAACAGCCCTCAGAGAAAGGTCGGAGGGCTCACCAAAGGCGTGGAACGCATTTCTTTGCGCAAGACCGAGAGTCGGGGTACCTCACAGTCCTGTCCGACGATGGTAAAGACCCTGACATTACAAGCTTGTCAAACCTGTCTTTGCCTTCTCCACCTCCACTGCACCAGGAACAATCAGCAACTGCTCCTCGAGCGGATTCGTCACCCATCCCCAGTAGCAACACTTCGAGGACGCCGAGCCGTCTCCAACATCAGAACGCAAAACACTTGTACCCTCGGGAACAGACGGAGGCCTCAGAGATGGAGGTCTCGGAGGTTGAGGCCACTCAGGTGGAGATCTTGGAGACGGAGGTATCAGAGTCGGAACAGTCAGAGACGGCGCCAAATCCTGATGACTTCGCAAGTCTGTCCCCTGGCAAAATGCTCACTGGGGCTGCTGTGAGCACCTGTCTAGGTCTACTGGTTGGAGCTGCTTGTTCTTCAAGATGGTCCATGCTGCCATCGGATTTTGACGTCGCAAAGGATGGAGCCTACGAAGAGGACCTGAAGGACGCCGAGCAGGTTCTGATTCCACTGCACCTCAAACGTGCAACCCACTGGGTGCTGCTTGCGATCAAGCTAGGGCCCTTGGAAGTCGAAGTTTTTGACTCCATACCCAACGCGTCACTGTGGAAAAAGGATATCGAAGCATCCGTTCGGAATCTGTGCGGCTCCCACCTACAAAAGTTCCTCGGATCAGGTACACCGGCGGTAGTGTTTTGCCAGAGTCTACAACAAGTTGGGGGCACTGACTGCGGCGTGTACACTCTCATTCACGCAGCGTACTTGATCGCCGGTCGAAGACTTCCGGCCAACACAGATATCAACGCTTGGAGACAGGCCATCTCCTCGTTCAACTACGGAGCTCGCCTCGACGCAGAGGACACCCCATGGAAACTTTACCCAGAGCTCGACGATGCAGTTTTCGAAATTGAAGATGACATGGCCTTCCCCCGGAAAGGAGCACGAATCACCGACAAGGAATGGTCTGCAGCGATTGCCAGCCGAAGGGCATACGAGGACAAGATGAATAAAATTCTCATCAAAACCCGCACACGCAACTTGCATAAACTGGATGAACATCACAAGGACATTCGCGAAGTTCTTGCGGTGATACATGATGTTCTCGCGTCAGCCACCCCAGAACAGCGCGAACAGGAGATAGAGCAGCTGTCGAAAGAATACCTGGCCCGCCAGTCGATCCTCTCTTCGTTGAAGGACATACCGAATCCCACACAGGCAGACAGAGAGTTCGGGACATCCCAAAAGGATCGGAAAAGAGCTTGTCTTAGACGAACCAGGACGATACGCATGTCAAGCCAGGCCCTGAAAGCAGCCGAGTGCCGACTGCAGCTTGAGCTTGGAGATGTTCTCAAGCGGCAGCAGGATCTAAAGGACCGAGGGGTGGAAGTTGAGACGTGAGGGGGGAACTTTGCCTATCACGAATGACCGACTCAATTGCAGTTTATTATATTGAATTTCTCAACTGTCTGGGAGGCGCACATGATTCATAGGACAGCCGGTATGCAAAGATGTATACCTACTAGTCAAGACATGAGCTATAAACTGGTAGCTTCAGAGGCACAAAACCTTGGTCTGCTTCACTGGATCATAAGCGCATGGATGTACGGAGGAGACTGTGACATGATTACCCATTAATCCTTATGCTTCATACACATGCTGTTCTCGAGTGTGCTGTTCACGGTACAATGAACTACCAACGTGCCACCGACAACGTCCTGTCTCGGTAGTCTGTCTGTGGTTTTCGTTGCACTACAGACATGCTCAAGTAGCCTGACTTGGGGGTGCTGTTATACCTTTGTACCTTTGTTGGGTGAATGCTCAGATGCTGGGCTTTTTCAATCAGCCTGACAGAGAAGGGAGGGTATGGAATTATTGTGGTGGACTTTCCAGAGTAGCCTGCTGATTTGATTGCTGCTATAGTGAGGACTGACTTTCCCATACGAGGTGATTCTTCTTCGAGGGACTCTCCATCATTGATGATTCTCAGTGCATTTGCTCGAATCATGATGCCTCCGCGCGGGTTTTAGAAGCGCGCGTAGTGTAAAACGGAGTACGTGAACTTACCGAAGAAGCCGTAGCCTCCGTGGAGGTTAAAGAAGCAGATGCCGTTGTCAAGCTCGTGGCAGATCTTGGCAATCTGGCAGCCGACGAAGGGGATATACAATATGGCACCCAAGTCACGGGTCCCTAGAATACATACCTAGACACAAACTGGGCATATTATCCATCGGTGTAGGCGCCCATCATGCGGGCCATGGCCCCTTTGAAGACCAGGCACAGTTCGACCGAGCAGAAGAGCTTCTTAGTCTTAGCATCCTGCCATACTCAGTACAGGCTAGTACAATGTAAACAGTCAGGAAGAGCAGTCTTATTTTTTCATTTATCTCTAACCAAAGAGTCCCTAGGAAATCACACCATCGGGCTTCTCCATATCCAGCATGTCTAGTGTCCGTATCTTATCCAGCCCTCATGTCAGCATACCAACTCAGGCTCTGCAACTTGGTTCATCGGAAGAATACAGCCAGCGTGTTGACGCCGTCGACAATGGCACCAAGACTACCTCCATTACACGTCAAGTAGCCATAATCAGCCTCTTACCTCTAGCAGGAATTCCCAAGAAGCTACCTATCGATCTGGATAAATCCACCTATAGCCGTAGTCCCTACACCTATCCTCCGTGTCTGTATGTATGAGGCTTCTGGGCCACCCACACACGACTGTGCTAATTAATAATCCAGTCTTGCACGAAAGAGTAAGGTGCCTAGCCTAGCTAAGGTCTTGAAGCAGGAAGAGAGGCTGCTTACACTTCGCAGGTCCTAGCAGCAGGGACGTTGGTACTAGCGCTCCCTGGATCCAATACATGTCCAACACTCAGGCCGAGGCTGGTAAAACCTTCGTTCTGAAGCGCAGCCTTGACCGGATCTATTGGCGGCTGCGTGTGTGACGGCGAGACTGGCATTTGCATCATGTAGGCTTGGGACTGGTGATGGTGCTGGAGATGCATCAACCAGCCCCCAGGCTTGAGGGCCAAGTAGGCCTCTCGGTATAGCCATTTTGTGTCACCCTGCATCGCCAAGAGATGGATTGTGGCGGCTGCACCATCAGCCCAAGTCTTAACCTGGCTGCTTTCTGCGATGAAGTCGATAGGCGTACGTTTTCTAGCGCCATATTAGCTTCAATGTGTCTGAAAGAGGAAAATAGGAATACTTTTCCTGCCAGCGGACACTAGCCTCCAACATGGTCAAGTCATTAGCCACATCAGAGCCTCTATGTATCAGGTAGTACAGGTCAGCACACAGTTCCTAGCGTGGTTGGGAATAGTGCAATATTCAGAGCGACATACAGATTGCTGTAAGATGGAAAAACTGATCCTGGCAGCCTGAGTTGGCCATTCTCAAAGGCCTCAAAGAATATGTTGTGGATATGTTGCAGGCGGTCATGTTCAGCCTGCTCGTTCTGTGACGAAATATGTATTACTAGATGAAGTCGATAGGGTGACGTGTCCCTTCGTAGGGGTCACCAGGCGCACTATAGGTGAGATGCAGAGTACAGCCGACTTACGATTCCATGTGGAAGCGAGAGTGGCGCCCACACGCGATGCGCCAGATACTCTGGATGAGTGGGGTTCGCAGTGCGCGGCGCTCGAGGCAACGGAGAAGACATTTTGTAGCGTCAGTTGCAGAACTTGCTGCCGATCGAAAGATATAGGGAGACGAGATGGATTATAAGCACTGGTAAGGGGCGATGGATCGACATGGCACACGTTATCAAAGCAAACAAACACACAAAAGGAGAAGCAAACAAACAACGATACAGACTGCGCATGTGATTGGTGGGTTGGAATGATAAGAGTCAAGCGGGTCCCTGTTATGCACGGGGAGGGAAAGGAAGCTATCGTGGGCTGCCTGGTTGAGCTGCAAGATGTTAACCAGCGGAAAGGAGAATGGCCATTGGTATTAAAAGCGGTGGTCTACAACCGTAATACCGCAGGTCACAGTGATGCCAGTTTTGCAGGGCTCCACTGGATATAGGCGTGAGATATTTGAGTCGCCAGACACGCAATATGCCGGTTTCATTCTTCTTCAGCAGCTTGTCTGGCATGACTGATGAGTTGGAAATCGGGAGGATGCCTACGGGCCGGACGGAGCATGAACGGGCGCAAGGGCGCGTTGCACGCCGACGGGTGCGCTTACTGTGTTACACAGCAGCCAACGGTCGACTAACAAGGATATAGATAATCAGTGAACCAGGAGTGCACCACTGTTTGCAGTGAGTTTGCCTTCAGAAGCCTAGTCCAGATGAAGAAGCCGCCAAGCCTAGCAGGGGGTGATGGGCAGGGATGTGTGGAGGCTGGGCGTTGGAGTTATATGATGTCTTGCGGCCGGGCTGACGATCATCCGGGAAGCAAAACATCCAATCAAGTGGCCCATCGCTAGGGTTGCTTAAGGTTAACCGTGAAAAAAACATCTGTTGGAGCACAGTTGCGCCAAGAGCCAGACGGATTTGGTAAACAGACGCAGGGGGTCATGTTTGCTTCCTTAGCCAAGGCGTGATTATTAACCCAAAGATAATTTGGGAGATATAGAATCATGCCTGATGATTGGAATTAGCAATTGCGCCAAGCGGGTAGATTGCAGCCATTCCTACTTTCGCTGCCGAGCTGGCTAATACAGACTTCCAAGACATGTTGACGACTTGACGCTAACTTATTATTGACTCTTATCTCTCCCGTGCGGGAGAGACGCGGAGAAGGGCTCACACAGTGTTGGATCCGAGTGCTTCTACAGAGTAGTTGTCACGATAGCTTCACCCTTTCCACAGTCAGCAACTGCTCTGTCAGGTGCCATATCACGTGGTGTTTCACTCATTACTTGCGTACCTTGACTATATATATAGATTCATTCTTCCTATAGTTACTCTTAGATAGTTAAGCCTTTTAGACATGAATTCTCCAATGCCCTGCTGTGTGCTCTAGCTCGTGACAGTAGTCATCTCCAAGTTGATTGTCTGGACACGCCAAGCTAGGATGCCTCTATGAGACTCTTCAGGAGCGGATTCTGAACAACGCGCCAAGCACTGTAGAGGACAAAAGACCTTCTATGACTATGGCTCTCAATTAGGACTAGCAAGCGTGTATTTGTAGGCCGAACTGTATGCCTATCTTACCCAGTCGTTTCCAATCTTGCTCATGTGCTTGTCCATGTTCAGATGCCTTGGAAGAACGCATAGCCCCCATTTCGCCCAGGGCTCGTCTCTATGGACCAGACCTGGCGGCAAAGGAGACGCGTGTTAGAAGTTGCTGTGGACTTATATCAACGTCCTTGCAAGCATATGCTTACCACAACCACCATATACCTAGCTTGTGACCAGCGGAGACGCCATGGAAAGATTGCCGACATTTTTGCTACTGCATTGGCAGGAGTGGGAATCATTTCTACGCAATCTTTGATTACGTCGCTGCTGCTTGCACCCTTAAGAGCCATCATGTGGGAAATATTTATCCATGTGTCCTGATGCAGGAAGACTTTAAGGCGTAAAGTCTTCTGCTGTGAAGGTTTCTGGGGAAGTTGTCCGGAAGGAAATCATGAAATTGTTACCTAAGAGATCAGTATAAGTTCATGCCGGCTTTATCGTGCAAAGACATAGGACTAGGTCGACATTTCTACGTTGACCAGAGCTTTACGTCTGGCGGGAGTATAAAGGCCTTTGACCTATTACCGCCCCTATTTGCAGCATTTGTCTTGTTATGAACTGTTGGAACCCTTCTGACAACGTCGTCTTGGGAATTATCTGAGCAACTATAATCCTACTATTACGGCAGTACTTGTTCGGATCAGACTCTAGAGCCAACTTTTCAGGCGCAACTTATGCAGACGACCGATTTTGAACAGCTCTGGTTGCCAGGTGTCTGAAGATTGAGCAGTGAGCCTAAAGAGGCCTGTAACTTTTACACACACTTTGCTTGTGGTGCAGCCAAGCGACAATGACTTGGTCAACGAATATAGTTATTAGACCAGAGGCAGCTAAAACTCACAAGACTGGGCTCGAACAAACAAAGTTTGTGTAGTGTGACTATGAAGTGAGAAGGGCGTGTGAGTAAGCTGCAGCCTGCAAAGGCGAGGGGCTTATTTCATTTTGCCGCAAGTGTGTATGAAACGAGATGGATATTGTCATGTTGGAGGTAATGATAGATGGGTGAGTCGCTGAAGAGAGCCTTGATGTTTTCTTTCGAGGGCAAGGCGCGAGAGTGGCAGAGGAAGAAGACGCTGAGAATTCTAGGTACGTCTTTCACATACATATATATAATAATCCTTGTTTATATAATTATAACAGGCCGCTGACAGTGACATCTTGAGACAATAACCTGTTGCTAATAAGACCCTGACCAATTGGGCCATTGTTGCCAAAGGATCCGTCAGTGTTTGAAACCTTGCAATCCACTGCTGTCAACACTGCTTATATATGGTCCTAGACTACTCTCTTATCTATACAATAACCTTTATTAACATTGACCGCGTGTTCCGTGGTGCCAGAGCTTCATTCGAGAAGGATAAAGTGCTTACAGAGTTAAGCGACTGCAAAGTTACAATAAGAAAGCAAGTGGTGCAAGGGCGCACTGTTCTCAAAGCCATAAGAAAAGCTCAGTCCATTGTTTACTTGTATATTCAATAACTGGCCAAGAGTAAGAGTCAAGCAGCTGTTACAAGGAAATATTGAAAGTTTAGGATATGGCAGTGAAGACAATTCTAGGTACCTTGCGAAACAATCCTTTAACCAAAATTTGAAGGAGCTTATCTTTGATCACCTTCCGCTAAGGCAGTGGAATCAAGTTATTCTGCCCAAGGTCTTAGACTCTCTTTACTTGCACCTGCTCCTATAGGACTGCGACTTTGGCTTTTTCCTCATGACAAGCTCCGTACTCGGCGCCACCAGTGCGGCCACGCAGAGCAACTACTTGGCAACCAACGTATTCTTAGACGCTATGGCCTGGCATTAGCATAGCCTGGGTCTTCAGCACATTTGTGGCGCTTGGCATGATTCTCCACGTGGGCCATGTTGAGGAACATGCCCAAGTCGAGACGGCCCTGAACCGTAATGAAGCGAATGTCAAGGTCCCTGCCGACGCCCCGAGGGCGACGTAGCAAGGCTCGTCGGCCAAATCCTGTGATAAACTGGTACATTACCCGCTGGGCAACTGTCGCCCGAACCGTTAGAGTTGTGGCCAAGCCGGCGCTGATAATCATCATGGCATCACTAGCCAATGCCGCCGCTCAGAAATGCAGACGCCCGCTCGGCGGTTTGGATATAGATTGGCATGTAATACGAGTAGCAGAGCAACGCGCCAGAGAAAGAAGTCTAGATAGACGGCGAAGCCAGCAAAGAAGACGAAGCCGGCGAGGTCAAGTTTGGGAAGGATGGTCGTTACACTTGACGAAGAGGAAAGCAAGGAAAGTGTACTACATCGTGTTAGCCACTGGGATGGGACAAGTCAGAAGGCAATGAGAAGAGGGGATGGTGTATATACGTGCATTACGGCTTGTCAGCGTGTAGAGACAGCCAACCAGAGGCTGCAAAGCACAGCTGATGGGGAATGAATAGTGAGTGAGTGGACGGACAGCAGCAGCCAGAGTTTGAGGCCGGAGAGATAGAGGAGCAAATCTGCGCCGAAATGACATGTGGTGGAGAGGTGTAGGTGAAGTGATAGACGGCTGTCTTGGGGAGATTTTTAATCCCAACTACTTGACGAGTAAAGTTACAGAACGGGCCGCTGCTTGAGTAGATCGGCTTGGTTTAGCTTAGACTTGGAGAAACCTAGCGCTGATGTGTTGACGGAATAGATATTTGTTAGTTCTTGTAAACGAGCGAGTTGTTATTCAATAGAGTGTAATTGATAAATACGCGGAAATGACATGGCGAAAGGCTGGGAAATTGGCAGTGAATTTCCCCTACTTTAGGTATAGATTAAACTAATAAGAAGCTAGGAGTTCTCTGAGATTTACTTATAAAGAGATAACCTTATTTAGGAATTTCCTCATGAAGCAACAGATACATATACAAACACACACATTAATATACACGTTAAATTCTGCGACAATCCCTACAATTTGAAATATACATGCTAAGAAACTCCTCCCCGCTTCGTACATATCTGATTACTGCTGGGAATGCGGTGACCACCGTGGAACTCTTGTATGCTGGCATTCCTGGGCGAGGAATACGTTGCAGCCAGTTCCCTCGAAGCTTGGAAAGCAAAATCCTGCAGCCCGTAGAGATGCGCCGTCGGCACATCCGCCGACGACGACTCGGCCCTCATGTAGTCCGTGGCTTCCTCGGTATAGTGGCAGCAGATGAACATGCTAACCCTGACCCTAAGGCACCTTGGGGGGCCACGGCAGCTGGAGTTTCGCTGTCTGGACGCGGAATATGTTGGCTGAACTAGCGCTTAATGTAATTACACAATATATTGCCATCATGAGAAATCTGTCCATGGGCGAAAACCACAAACTTCAATCCTGTTTCTGGGGTGTTGTCAGCTACTTCTCTCCGCTCACCTGATCAGATCTGCCAATAATTCAAGGTAATATTGGCCGGTCCTCAGAACCCCCTCATTACGCTCTGTTATCAAAGCCCTACTTGTTACGTTTGTTCTTAGTGTCTGTGGGAAAAAGATGAGTAGTAAAGTCGCCTTAACTTTACAATCTGTCTCCAAGATTGCTTGCAGCCACCTGTTGCACACTATCTGCCTCATCTCCCTCCTGGCCAGCACCTCCCTTTGAATGGTTGTCCCTAACTGGAAACAGCAGGAATCTGGTTGCCGGTCCCAGCGTGGGCTGGAAGTGGCAGAATTTTGACCCGCTACCGCCGCAGCCGACCTTCCTGGTGAAACCAAGCGGGCCGGCGCGGCCGAGGACTGGTTAGATTCTGCGACCGGCCCGAGCATCATGAAGAGAGCTTTTGACTCGACGAGCAGGTTCGCACGCCCGCAGGTCGTCGCGGAGACTTAGGAACTCGTTTTCGTCAGGATTCTTACTGGATCCTGATCGGCCAATGCCTTTATCAACAATTTCAACACGATAGCTTCCACTACCTCTCCACGACCGTAGCCATTAGCACGGGAGTCGAACGCAGACGAGATGTCATCAGGTAATAGAAATCTAGAGGCACACTTAGACCACTCAAACTACACCGTGGTGATGAAGTTCTGTTATAGAAAAGGGACTGGCCTAACCAAGGTTGGACATGGTCACAAAGACATGCAAGTTTAGCATGAGGTTTAAGCCCACTACAATGGCTATGTCTAACTCTCCCGCTCGAAAACTCTGGCACGCCAGGTGCAGCGCTGTCAAAATAGTTTAACAAGCTGTGTTAATGGTAACACTAAGACCATACAGGTTGAAAAAGTGCGATATTCGGATCAATACTATGGTGCCTGCGTTTTCCGTTAAAAGATGCCAAGTCAGTACCTTTGGATTACGGTTGAGCGAGCCATAGTAATCCTTGTACAAAATACTAATAAGTACCGCCGTGTTGGATCCTGTACCATTAGGATTCCAGGTGATGCTAAAAGTATTAGTGTTGTGTTAGGAACGAATTTTAGTCCTTCTCATGCCTACGGCTGTCAAGAGCCTCATTGGAAACTTCGAGGGTTAACCACTAATACAGATCTATATCCTTACCACCGTTCAGAAACTTTTTTCTGTTCGCATCCAACAGGACATATTCGCAGCCACTCTCACTTTGACTACTTCACTGGTCACGTTGAAGAATGAAGTGTCAAATAAAGCAGGATCCTCTTCAAGGAAATGCCCGCCCTTCGCGTAAGTTTGGTGTTAAGCTCAGAGTCAGTGACTGAATGCGCGATTTGTGAGACCTATCTTCCAGGTCTTACTTTGTTCGTTACAGGAGCGTACATACCGAGCCAAGTCTCTCTCCATCAGGTCTCCGTCAGGGTGGCATACTCCTCCCAGATTGAATCTTGTAGATGAGAGTTTCGACCACGTACTCCCCCCTTTCTCGAGCAGTTCCCATGGCTTTCGGGGGCTTGATGCGCTGCCAGAGAACCTAAATCCCATGCCAACTATGGCAACTGGGCTATGGCCGCAGGCTTGTCCCGGAGAAGATATTTTACTACCTATAGATGTGTGGTACTGACAAGCGGTAAGCGTTAAACTTAATGTGAAGATGAAAGCGGGCACAAGTTCCTTACAGCAATCGTAAGACAACCAAAATTGGGTTCATAATCACCTCAACTTCAAGTCCTATGTACTTAACATACTACTAGATATAGAAATATGTACACGAGCAATTGCCAGAAGCTAGAGAATCTCATCAGAGTTGCTAATCGGCATGATTAGAATATACCGATGTGAGTGCAAGTTGTCCGAACAAATCTTCCTTGCGGCGACATTGTAATGCGGGCCCTGGCACCTTGAAGTCTGCATATGCGCATGTCATGATCCAACGAGTTTCAATACATAAATGCTTGAGTTTCACTCGTTGCTAGAGTTCGCGAATAAATTCCTAGGATGTTGCATTAAAAATGGCGTTGGCATTTCCCCTCATGGTTACTTACGCATGAGCACTATATCAGTGTTTCGCCAAAACACCAAAAGGGCAGTCCAATATGTTCATCTCTTGTATCACAGCAGTTAGCTGGCCCCAAAATATCGGATTTGTTAACTAAAGTTCTAACGTTATTCCAAGAGACAGCGGGGACGGTCTTCGTCGGGGACTACGAAGCATGCCAACTACTCGCCGGCCGCGGGTGGTTTACGTCGTCTCGATGCGCAGTCACTGATTCCCAATTTAACAAAACCATCGAAGGCCCTGATCGTGCTGCCGCCAATCGTCAAGGCAGATAGATATGCGGGTCTGTGGCTCATATTGACGGGTGCGTTGCAACCATCACATCGGAGGCGTTGCTTGCTCATAATGCCGAACTGTAACCCCGAAACACGCCCTGTTGCCCTTCGTCTACGAAAACCCTAGCAAGAATCGAAGTGATCGTGGTTAGCACGGTCGATATCATTTAGCTGGAGTGTGTGCAAGAGGGACCTGCTGTTGATATTACCCTTACAAAGTTCCTACTGTACATTTTTGAGACAGCTCAGCGACCAGCATCCGAGGATGAGACGAGATGAGAGCCAAAGGCTACTCTCGATGGCAGAAGACAGGATTATGCGCCTCGTTAGTGTGACCAAACTCCTGACAACAATCATAGCTCCTCAATGCGTGGACCAGGGCCTCGTTGACTTGGATGAGAACGTGGAAAGAATCATCCCACAATTGACGATCATGAAAGTCTTGACTGGCTTCGATGACGCTGAAACGCAGTGATGAGGAACGGCCAAGGAACGATTACTCTAGGCCCTGTAAACTCCATTCCGTAGCGGGTGGCAGAGAAAATGTATGGAAAGGGGATGAGAAAGCTTACAAAGATTTGCTGACTCTTGTGATGGACTTTTTAAAACAAGAAGGACATCTCTTAACGCACACATCGGGTCTCCCATATGTATTGATCAACCCTATCCTGCAAGAGTACATGGCCAAAGGCTATCTTCCCACAGCCGACAAATTCAGAATCCAAAGCCGTGAGCGATCCTGACAAGGAGTGGATGTACGGATCAAAACTCAACTGGGCCGGCAGGCTGGTAGGACGGGCTATCGGCATGGGTTTGGAGAGCTATATACAGGGAAAGCTGTGCGATCCTTTGGACGAGAGGCTGGAAAAACAAATAAACAACCACATGCACGCGGCGACACATGTATGACCCTGGGAGGTGGTCCAAGCATAATCTAGGTAAGGCCTTTGTTAATCACTAAATAACGTTCAATACACTGACATGACAAGTTGTCAGTTATCATAATGGTCTCCGAAGACTTTGGCATATTGCTGCTTTCGTGCGTGCTAGGGTTATGGTATTGGTATAATAAGACTTAGGTGTGCCAAACTATCCAACTTGTTAAGGAGAGTATCTGGCTGTTTGAAAATATCAGCTTGCTTAGCGCTAGGCCCCAATTTTGTCTAAAAGAGCCATCTACAAACTGACGGTTACAGGTAATTCCTCGTCACATCGCCGCGCTATTAACTTCGTGGATGGATGAATTCAAACACTGAAAGATTGTCAGAAGAGCTCAACATCATCTCCAGGCACAGGTTTGAAATCATACTAGATCAGAGAATAAGCCAATAAGATCTTGACCGCTTTGGATGCAAAGAAGCGACCAGGCAATGCAGCTGCGGATCTCCTGCTGTAGGGATTCAATTAGATCCACATGTCTGCAAATTTCTATAAGAGACCCGATAAGAAGATCTGATGTGGCTTATATTCCGGCAAAGTGTATGACAAGTTGACGCCCGGCGGCATCGCTGATGAAGTGTCATATTTCATTTTGAACAAAGACGCAGGGGCCGGGCGCCCTAAGTAGAACGAAATAGTCACGCGGGGATGGTTTACTCACTCCCAGTTACCATAAGCCGCTTCCCGAAACCACTAGAGTTAATCAACATGTACTGGCGGTTCTACGCCCTTTTCTAGACATACTACTCTCTTGGTGCGTCATCACTACGATAGGCTCAACAAAGTTTCTTGTCTTGTCTACTTGATCTCGCAGATTCTTGCCCAGAGGATTGAGATAGTGGACGAATGGACGTAGTGGTTTGGACCATAAACGAAGTTAGCGAGCGTGCACTGCCATCTGGGCGAGCGGTAAAGGCCGAGTTTTGTCGTCATGAATAGTAGAACAAGAGCCTGTGTTGCGGGTGGATGGCATACCTTTGTTGTCTCCTACCACGTCTGATACAGTAATCTTCTCTTTCAAAGACAGCACAACCACATTCTTATCGGCTTGGGTCTGGTATTGACCCTAAACAACTTTTGTCGCGAGATAGGCATCTCAAATTCCTCCATCTTGCGGAACTCGTCAGCCATGGAGGCTGGGAGAATGGTGCGATATCCCGAATCGACGACAAAACGAATGGGCTCCTCGTTCTAAGAAAACCAAGCCTGGATCCAGTCGGGACCGTGGGTATTAAACACCCTCCTAGACCTCATGTTGGTGAGCTCAGTGATGAAAGAATCTCGGATCAGGAATATCAGCCCAAAGATTCAGGGCATACGACGCTAACTTGAAACAGAGCAATCTCTCCCTTTCTATCTAAATTAATGAGATCTTACTCTCGTCCTATTCTTGGTATTTCTCCAATTTACCCCCACCCTGATGCAGTTCCCGCTGAGGCCTGGTGTTACCATCTATACTGCCAAACCAGTGTTCGTTGCAGATACCGAATCTTGCCGACGGCGGCTGAGGAAGGAATCAGACGTCGGTTTTTGAGTTGATCAAGGAAAACAACATCAATCATTTCCTCGGAATCATTTGACCAAGACCGAAATCCTTCAAATGGTTGTTGTTGTTCTCGTGTTGTTCTCCGCCGTTCCTAGCAGCCATCAATACCAAGACACTTGTTAACTCCCAAGCAAGCATAGCGCCCTTCAAGTGATTCCACCAGAAAGGCAACCAACGTTTTCATCATAGCCTCCACGGATCAGAGAGATTACCCAAACGAGCCGGTGGTCGCTGTGGGAAGTAACCGTTGCTTCCCAGGTGGCGCAAACACACCTTCAAAGTTATAGGATATCCTTAAAGAGCCTCGTAATGTTCAGAGTAAGATACCCAAAGAGATGTTCGATATCAACACACTCTATGGCCGAATCTAACAAACGCCAGAATGCGGATGCAGGACCTCCAGGGATCGTCAACATCTATCTATGTGGGCATGATGACCCATGACTACGAGATCACTTCGACCTGTGATTTGGAGAGTATTCCCACTTACAGCGCCACGAGCGTGGCAGTGAGCATTGTATCGAATTGCATCTCGTACTTTTCCGACTGGCATGGTCCGAGTGTAAGTGGAACCTAATTAATTGATCAAGATGTTAAGTGGTGTTGGTTTTGGCTTCTTCCTTCAGGATGCAAACAAGATAAGCGTGCCAGAGTGGCTTGACGACATAGTGAACAAGCTGGTGCTATTTGCAAAAGCAAAAAGGACAAACCTGACACGTCAACAAAGCCTATTAGCACAACCTAACACGCTAATACATGGCTCTACAGCAAATCGCAAACTGGATGTTAGGTTTATTAATGAGCTTAAGGCTGGCCAAGGGCCTTAATACAGCTAGAAGCAGGTACTAGTGCCTAGAGAACTTAAGAGTAATCTGTCTAGAGGTATCTAAGGGAAGTACTTGCTGTATGGGACACCTAGCACCTTGTTCTAGTTTTTATACTTTATAGATCTATAATAAGAGTTTAGGCCTTTAACTAGCATAAAGTTATTATATTAAAGCTGTTTAATATTAATAAGGATAGCCTATAGTTTATATTTACAATCCTTAGGCTTTTTGAAAATGAATAAAGAAGCCTTGGGATTTTATTTAACTCTTAAAAAAGCTAGTAATAATAACTAATTTATTAAGATCAATTAAAATAGTTCTATAAAGCCATCCCCCCCTCCCAACATGCAACTTTGGGTCTCGATTCTTTGTTTCCATCGTTCTAAGTAACCTTAACCCTGAAGGACGTCGACTAGGGCTAGCTAACAAGATATATAGCCTAGTTAAGGGGCCTAAGAGCATCGCAAGCTTGAGGTTTGTATAACTATAGTACAGGAAGACGTTCTACAACTCAGTACCTAGCTTAAAACACATAACAAAGACTAGATAAGCTGCCTAGACTTGGGCCATCGTTCGATACATTTTGTTTCTAATCTTCGCCAGTATGCAATTAGAGATGTTTTTCTAGGTAGTGCCGATCCGACAGACCTTGAACCCCCATACAAGTTATCAACAACAACAGTGCTGCGCCGATAGCTCGCCCTGAGTGACGCATTGGCCTTTGAGTTGCACTTGGCATGCATCCTGGGCATTTGTATCCGTTAGATACAAATTGACAGATTATGGCCCCTTTGATTAGTAGACTCGCCACGCACGTCAAGACTAACATCTGCCATCCTAGTCAATACACCAAATGCGGGCCACATTGATTCAAATGCCAGGAAAGCTTGCCTGGCAATTCGTCTTCATGCCAAGTTGCTTCTAGATGACTTGTAACCTGGCTGGGCGAGGGCTTGAGCGGTTTTTCCCGACTTGGACCCGCGTGGTGATGGATGTGGTGAAGGTCAGTCCTAAGCACGGCATTTTATCTGTGTCTAGCGAGGTGTGGTTAAGGTGGAAGTCTAAATCAGAACTCATGTACTTGTAGTTTAGGTTAAAGCCAAGATGGGGTGCAGAAGTATTATGGCGGCAGGGATTACTATAGAGAACGGGTATAGATTTAATAAGACAAAGGGGATTGGTTACCAGTGATTTAGAGACAATTTGCGATGAACGAGATGGATTTCCAGTGCGTCTATTCTCTTTAGTATGCTTGATTGTGCTATGATCTTCGGACGGGTGGTCCAAGCTAGCTGAGGTCCTTTTGCAGAACCGCTTGGAGGTCTGCTTTTGATGTCTGTGTTGGCACCTGACGAAGCTGTGGGTCTGGAGCCAAGGGGAATCTGGAGCCACATTTTGATAATTCGCCTTGGTGGCGTGGGGTTTGGCTAGATGGCGGTGGTTCTGAATGGACACGCCTTGGAATTGCTGCTCGATGTTGTGGAAGCACATTGCGAAGCTGGATGTTGATAGGTGTGGAAGGTCAGACGACCGAGATTAACGAGGAGAGGCATTTCGAAGTCACTGATGGCACTGCTGGTATGTCATGAGGCAGGAGTTGTGTGGTAATACGTGGTTTAGATATTGTTACTATTACTTTTGTACGGGTGGTATAGAGTATATTATGGTAGTAGATAGGCACACTTGGGCACTGTTGGTAAGTGAACAGAACAGAATAAGAGACGTTAACACAACCCCTCGTCATGCTGGCTGTACCATTCGATCTTAACCCATGAATACTATAGAATTTGCATATTCTCAAGTGTCGTACTTTCCGCGTACCAAATGACCTTGGGGCTTACAAGGTGATGTTATAGTGAGCTTAATATAAATACAAAGATGGAATGTTTTTGATCCCGGGAATCGACGTGTTGCCGGCTGCAATATGGCCAGTGAAGAATTCTCTGTAACAACACAGAACCTTCATCAAACATGTTGCTAGGTCTTTGTTTAGCCTAGTCCCTAAAGGCTGACAGCGTTAGAAGCAAATCAAAACGTAGAAAATGGGCAATTAACTGCATACCAGGCCACTTTTTAGACTACAGCGACCCCACGAGAATTCAGCTGAGAGTCAACTGGGCCTTATTACCCGGACGCACTTGGCTAGAGACGTTGGAACCCGAGTGCACCATCCAGGAAGATGCATGAGCAGTCTGGTCTGCGTAAGCCATGTCCCACGACTGCCGCCAGGCGGCAGCCCTGAACAGCGACCAAGGTGAAGGTGGATGGGGGTTGTGCGAGAGGCTATGGGTGTGCCGGGTCGACGAGGAATAAGTACCTACACATCGTACCTAGGTCCCCAGGGAGGGGTCCAGCACGCGCCGTGCTTTCAGGTCTAGGATTGAGTGGGTATTAGTCGACTGGAAAGAAGAAGCCCGGGGCGACTGTTTCCTATTTGATCGTAGAATAGAATGTTTATAGCAGGCCGTCCACATTGATTCGGAAGACAAGGATGAGCATTATTACAACAAAGTGCGTGATACAAAACTGCGCTTAGATATGTCAACACCCATAGATTCAATTACTCAGTGAATCAATACTTGGCATGCCCAACTGGTCCAGGTAGTGAATGCATACGCGTCCGCGGTGTGTCTCAAGGTAGATATATTATGGTAAGCCCTGCAGGCTGTTAGACCAGAAGTAAAATTCACTAACGTACTCCCCGGTACTGATTCAAGGCGTTCCCCCCGTATTGCCGTTTAAATAGGCCAAGCGTGCCCAGAAAGGCTGGGTCATCTAAGGCTCTGACATTGGTGCCATGAAGCAAGGACGGGATAATGCGTTCGTTACAAGATTTGTATGTTGTATCCAGGACGTCAGGATCTCGCCAACACCAGAGGACGGCATTACGTTGGCATCACATTCAGGTGGCGTCATCCAGCACTCACTGTCTATGGAAACAGGTTGTAGGAAAGATTGATGGATCGGTATAGGATGTAGCCGGGGTACATATGTAACAGGCAACAAAGTTACCCTAATGAAGTCCACATCAACAATCTGTGACAATACCTACCATGTCCTCAAGGTTCTAGAAGTGGGTTACAGAGATGGTATATTAATATCAATTGCTGCCCTCTCATGACCAAGACATCGTGATTAATCAAGGATATGTAAAGGGGCGACGCAGCTTCTTTATACTAGGACTTGTGCGTATGTTAACAAGGAACAGGCGTTTGTTACAAGATGGTGCTACGTAAGAGGAACGGTCTAATTCTAGTTATATAGTACTACAGTATACAATTATCACTTCTAGGAACCGCCGTTGTGGGGAAGTCTTCAGGCCTTCATCTTCCAGAGCTGTGTCCCCGGTCGGTGGGTAGAACCTGGTCATCCTTTTACAAAGATGGCAGGTTTCGGGTGGCGATGACAATACAGGCGACCTCAAGACCTACACAGACAAGGGCAAAGAAGAGGATTATAGCTATTGCTACCAATTATGCTAACGCAATCTTTATGGGAAGCTGTACAGAGGTATCCAGAACTTGCCATCAACACCTTGATGTCTACTATCTTGGATCTGGCCGAGAAACACTTCATCAGCTTCAGAGACTGTGCAAAACCAAAGTTACTGCCCCAGGCCACAAAGAGGTGTCTGCTTATTGCGCCAGACTGTACGAGGTGGGACTACAGCTGCAAGGGACACTCTTAGAGACAACACGGGACGTCAAGGCAGTGCCTCTCCGACGCACATGATCGCTCATATGGAAGGAGTTGATGAGAGCCCCAGCCAGCAACTAGAAAAGGACAGTAGTATCCCTGACGTGTATTAGCTAGGACTGTGTAGCGCCAGTGACGGCTGCCAATAGAATGTCCAGCAGAATGTTTATCTTCCCCATAGGGGAGCGCTCTCAAGAGAATGGAGAGCCCAACACACATAGACACTCTGTCGAGGGGGGATCAGAGGTGACAGAATCACACGTCTTCAGATCACCTAGACCGCTACTCTGTCTCGTGCGAGATAAGGTTAGTCAAGGTCACATTATATTTAGCATCGCATGATTCCAGCCTCAAACAATGGTTTGAGAAGATAGTGAGCGCAGACCTCAATCAGGCGCGCAGGGCGGCTTGGTACACAGTTGGTCCAGCGTTTCTAACTTGTCCCTGATGCCGAACTAATCAAGGAACGTGCGCACATACGGCCACAAACAATGTATTTAAGTAGGATTTCTTTTTACAAAACGACAAATATTGACATTAATTAGAATCAATCAATTGTTTTCTGTAACTGTGGGCTATAGATCTTCTAAGTAGGCAACAGTCATTGCAACCTTGAGTGCTAGAGCGTTATCATAGCCAACAAGCGGCAGCAGCAGAATGTGCGATACCGTTTGTCGTCCTTCACGGCATAGGAAGTTAGCGCTGTTAAGTCCCGGCACTCTTTGGTTAAAGAGGTAATCCTGGAGTCCGATCTTTTCCGTGCGCACATGGAATGGGAGCGCACAATGCCGCTTGCTGAACCCTTCATGGGCTCAAAGGATCTTCTTTTTTGGTTTTGGCGTGAGATGGAACGACTGTCTTCTTTACGTCTTGATTTCCTAGTATGTTTGCTACTTATTTTCGGTGTGACTGCTTGTGTGATAAGGTCTTGGTAGCGGACCTGAGCTTGAACAGGCTTCTTGGCTTGGTTGCCCTGGCGCCTGTCTGTCCGTTCTGCCTCCATCTCCTGACTTATCGTGTATCCTGGTAGGACATATGCCATTCCATGCCCAGG